GGCCTGGGGGTGGGATGGATGTGGGGTGGAGGGGATCAATGAGGGGGAAAAGGGGGACATCTATAATACTTTCAACCATAAAGATAAATAAATAAAAATAATTCAAAAATGAATAAATAAATAGTGTATTTACCACACATGATCTAATCTTCCATCACTGTATATTTGACCCCCTTTACCCTTTTCTAACTTCCCCTTCCTGCTGGTACACCATAGTGTTGTCTATGTCTATGAGTTTTTGTTTGTCTTGTTTGTTCATTTGTTGCTTTCAGTTTTATATTCTACATACGGGGGACATCATATGGTTCTTGACTTTTTCTGTCTGACTTATTTCACTTAGCATGATATTCTCAAGATCCATCCACGTTGCCATAAATAGCAGTATTTTATCTTTTCTTATGACTGAGTAGTATTCCATTGTTTATATGCACCACATCTTTTTCCAATCATCTATTGAGGGATATTTCATTTGTTTCCACATCTTGGCCACTGTGAATAATGCTGTAATGAACATAGGGGTGCGCATACCTTTGTGAATAAATGTTTTCAAATTTTTTGGATAGGTACCCAGAAGAGGGGTTGCTGGGTCATATGGTAACTAACTATTCTGAATTTTTTGAGGAGCCTCCATACTGTTCTCCATAGCGGCTGTACCAACTTATATTCCCACCAGCAGTGAAGGGGGTTTCTTTTTCTCCACAGCCTTTCCCACACATTATTACTTGTGTCGTTGATAACAGCCACTCTAACAGGTATGAGGTGGTATTTCACTGTAGTTTTGATATGCATTTCTCTAATAGCTAGTGAAGTTGAGCATCTTTTCATATACCTGTTGGCAATTTGTATGTCTTATTGGGAGAAGTGTCTATTCAGGTTCTTTGCCCCGTTTTTGATTGGGTTGTTTGTTTTTTGGTGTTGAGTTGTATGAGTTTTTTATATATTTTGGATATTTATCCCTTGTTGGAGCTGTTCAAGAACTGCAAATGAAGGATGAAGAAAAAACATAAGAGATGAAAAGAAACTCACATTGCTACATTATAAATGCTTACACTGTGCGCCCAGCTTTGTGCTAAGTGCTCTGAAGATTTGGAGTTTGTCTCCTTTTCAGTTAACAATTGTGTAGTAGTAAAGACTAAAAGTGAGATTGGGAGTGCGGAGGTGGGCCCCACAAGTGTCAAGGACACACTGAGAGATGAGTAAGGCCTGGAAGCAGAGAAATTTTAACTGCCCAAACAAAACAATGTTTTTGAAGCCACTCGTATTTCCCCATGGCCAGGCTACTTCTGCTGATACCATTTCATCATTTCCCCATTTTGTTGTTGCCTGGAGTGAGGACACTGACTTGTTTTCCAGTAAACTGCCTTGTCCTCCTTATGCAAGAAAGGAAATCCTGACTTGAACACACAGCCACCAAACAAGTTAATATTCTTATGTCCTGGGGTTGAACTCCCTAAAATAGAGATAAAGTGTTCATTCTTCAAGATTCCTTTTCCTTGAAACTTACCAACAAAATACCCTTGGACTTAGAAACTGAGGAGAGAGAAAGAGAAGAAGGGGAAGAGAGAAAAAGTGAAAGAAAAAAAATGAATTCACTCAAATCATCTGAATCACAGTGCACAGGTAAAATTTGCAGTTCTTCTTTTTCTTTCATAGATATTTTTTGGGGGGAGAGGTGATAAATATGTTGAAGGATAGGACTATAGAAATACATACAGTAAAGTAAAAAAAGAGAGAATGAAGCAGAGGAAAAGAAAGGAATGGTTAGAAGAGTATGTGTTATACTGGGAAGGTCACTGGGTTTGAGTTCAGGGAGAGCTGCCGGACTTCTGCTTCTACCCTCTCTGTGATTCACTGTGTCCTGTAGGGTAAGGCACTTCACTTCTCCGGGATTCACTTTCCTTGTCTATAATATGTGTATTGGGAAGGGGGGAGAGAGGAACTACTAGATGAATTCAACGTTTTATATGATTGATTTACAAAGGGCTTGGAAAACCAAGTGCTAAAAAGAGGAGAGCAAGAGTGAGAGAAGAAAAACAGAGGGTGAGAGGGAAAAGGGAGAAAGATAGGGAATGAAGGGGGGCTGACTTAGGAAAGGAAAAACTGCACATCTGTTCAACTTCATGAATCTGTCTTAAAATTAGCAATGCATTACTCTAGTGGTTTTTAAAAGTGTGGTCCCCAGACCAGCAGCATCAGCAGCTCCTGGGAACTTGTTGATTCCATACCAGCTCTAACTGAATTAACCCTGGGGGTGAGGTCCTGTAACCTGTGTTTTAACAAGCCCTCCAAATAATTCTGATATATACTAAATGTTTGAGAATTACTCAAAATAGACACTACAAGTGGAAGGAAATATGTAAGGTTAAGTAAGAATGTCTTATTCCTCTTGCTTGGGGAAGATTGACCATATTTGTGTCTTTCTACAGAGAGAGGATGCTTCTCTTCCCAAGGGTTCTTATGGACTGCTGCTGGGATCTCCGTCCTACTTCTCAGTGCCTGTTTTATTACCAGATGTGTTGGTGAGTTCTGAAGGTCAAACTCAATCTCTCTGGTGAATATTAGGAGCAAATTCTTCCTTGCTGCCTGTGGGCTCTCTTCTCCCATTAAAAATATTTCTATTCCCCTCCCCCCCTTTTATCTCTAGGTTATTCCTCAAGCAGAAGCTCCAACTAGTATAGAACTGTTACCAAATTTCAGTGACCTGTGATGCATTTTTTATGGTAGAAATTTTTCATCTCCTTGGTGGCCTTGTGTATTCTCCTTTGTGCCCCTATCATTCATTAGTGTAGCCCTTTCTATGAGATCCTAGCCAGAAACATGACAGATCACTTTTTGGAAGGAAGGGTAGAGAGGGTTAGACATAAGACATTCTCTCTTGGCATAAGAGAGAATGCTAATACATTTGTTTTCTCTGGGCCTATGGGCCTGAATTAAAGTGCATTCATTTTTATAAATTAGGAAAATCCTAAAATGTAAATTCCCTCTTCTTTCTTTACATAAATCTCATTGCCGTTCCATGTAGAAGGAAAAATAGATAGTAAGAAAATACAATAATTGTTGGCAATTCTGTTTAAATACAAAAATGATAAAATTAATTTTATCAAAAGAGCAATAAACATTAACTGTGCCCCTGTCCTTACAGTGACTTATCACATCTTTCAACTCTGCGATGAGAAAAATGTCCAGGAGTTCATGGAATTCAACTGCTCCAATAATGATTCAGGTATAATATTCCTCAAATTTGAACATCACATTTTACATATCAATATTTTTTGGCTTCTAGATTGATTTTAGGGTAAAGTAGTTGGACTAGGTCATGTTTTTCAAAACCAAAATGGAAAATCTTACTTGTACTGTAATAGAAGGATGAGAGTTGGTTAAGGAGTCAGGAAATGCAATTAGCACTGGAGAGGAAATCTTGGGGACATTATAGCAAACTTTTAGAATAAATTTGAGGTATATACCTGAACAGTAAATCTAGAAAACAGTGATATACCCAGGAGTGCACATTTCTTTAAAATTCATCACCTGCTTCCAAAATGAAGTGCAGGGAAAAAGTGTATAGAATAAGGAATCTGGAAATACCTCAGAAATATACTCTGTACGCTCTTATGTATAGCCTTGTTCCAAGTCTTAGAAAAATGCAATATGACACTTCCTTCTTTGGGCTATAATTTCCTCACCATTAAATTGAGAGAGACTGGAGTATTTATTTTTAATAAAGTTTAAAGGCTTCAATTCTATAATTCTAAGAAATTTAGCCCACCTGTACAACCAATTTGGAGATTTTGTTGAATGTACATTCTTTGGGCAACATGAGAGATGGTTGCTTAGAGGTCACAGATAAAATGCATAACTTTCTCTGAACTTGGCAATCTAAAAACAGCTAAGAGGGTGCTATATCAATAGCATAACTGAGATAGTATATATGGCATAGCTAGAAAATAAGGATTATATTTCAAAAGATAAGAATATTTCTGTGTGTGTCTATTGACACAGGAATTATTTAAGGTCTTAGATAGTAAGATGTGATAGGGGGTGGGGTGAACAAAGTGTTCCAAGGCTTCTGACTATAAATGATAGACTTCATGGGGCTAGATGAAACTTTCTGTTTTCTTACTTAGTTTATATGGGACATTCATGGAAACTTCTCTCCTCCTAGGTTCAGCCAAGCATTGCTGTCCATTGAGATGGGTACATTTTCAATCTAGCTGCTACTTTTTTTCTACTAACACCATGACCTGGTCAGAAAGTGTAAAAAACTGCTCAGACATGAGAGCTCATCTGGTGGTTATCAACACACAGGAGGAACAGGTAATTGAAGTACAGCCTCCCTGGGTGTCAGGGTAGCATTCCCCACATGATCCATCACATTTTCCATACATGTGTACAGTGTTTGGACCACAGTTATGTTCAATGAATTAATGAAATGCATCTTACTATTTCTGAAAGTCAATACCTACTTTATTTTCATTTCTAGAAGAGCCTAAGAAAAAAAGAAATGTCCATGTTAGTTCCTTAGTAAGGCAGAAAAAAAGGAGGTGGAGGTCCATTTTAGAGAGACCACTGTGCTTATAAACCTACTTGAAAGGGAGGAAACAAACAGTGTCCATTACCTTTAGGTTGTGATTAATAATGCTTTGTGCTAAACTATACAGTATATTTTGCTACAAATAACAGTAAACTATTGAGAAACTCTTTTGTCGAAGGTTCTTTTTTGTTGGTTTAATTTAATGTTGTGTATATTTTTACCACAATTTAAAAAATCAGAATATAATCCCCCATGATCTTAATATTTCAGGGCCATGAATCTATCACTTTTTTGTTTAGAATTGAAATAAATAACTTTTTTGGACTGTGTATTTTCCATAGGAATTCCTTTTCCATGTGAAACCTAAAGAGAGAGAATTTTTTATTGGACTGACAAAACAGAAGGTTGATGGTCAGTGGAAGTGGATAGATGGCACACCTTTCATGAAGTCTCTGAGGTAATTTCCTTCTTGTAGGAGAATTTAACGCTACCCCACATCCTAAAGTTAGCCCATTGTTGAGGGGTGTTCTCAGAACCTCCTTCTGTTCCATGAGATGTATTCAGGACCATCCTCTTGCTCTCGTTTCCTAAGACTGTCTCAAATATAAAGGGGAATAGATGAACATGAAAAGAGGAGTAGAACTGAATACTAAAACTTTGGAAATGCAATAGGGACAAAGTGTGGAATTCAGAGTCTTATGCCCCCAAACTCTAATAAATGAGACAAAAACAGTGATTTGAAAAAGACAGAAGATTCTTATGAAGTGAAAAAAGGAAAACACCCTTGAAAACATTTCTTTTCCCCTTAATAGTGGCTTTACAGCATTAAAGAACAGCATTTTGGAGTTTTCAAAGTTTTAATCTCATTCATTATCTCATTTAACCTAAGTTGCACCTTTCTGAGATACATCAATATTATTACTTCACTTAGCATTTGAGGAAATGAGAGGTCAGGGGAGCTTCAATCAGTTCTAAGAGTATAGCCCACATGCTCTGATACTTTTAAAGGTTGCTTCACTACAACACTGTGACACCATTGAAGGGTGCACCTAAGTTAATACAATCTGTGCGTAGAATAAAGGGAACCAAATGTGATACGACATATGAGTGCAAAGAAAACAAATCCATCAGTTGTTCCTGTAACCTCTCATTTGGGGTCTAGTCTATGAGGGGGCATGACAGAAGGGAAAGGCAGAAAGATCCAGTTCAGCTTCACTAATCACAAAGCCTATGACTTAGATGGGTAGCTGTTCTGAGATCCCTTTTCTTTGTCAATAAAATAGAGATTTTAGTATCTACCTCAAAAAAGTGTTGTGAAGCTAAATGACGCAAATGTAACTTGCCTAGTATATTAAGTCACTTTACCTCTTGTAGCTGGGATTTAAAATCTCCTATGTCATTTTTTTTTTTTCAGCTTCTGGGACTCAGGGGAGCCCAACAACATAATTGCACTGGAGGACTGTGCCTCCATAAGAGACTCTAAAAACCCTAAGAAAAATTGGAATGATATACCCTGTTTCTTCAATTTATTTCGGATTTGTGAAACGTCAGAAAAAAATATTTTGAACAAAGAAAATCCTTTAAGAACAGAAGACATAAATTACATGTATGCATGAACAGGATCAAGAGTGTGAACACAGCCACAACCCCACATGACAAACATGTGCATTGCACTTCAGAAGGTCTTCAGAAGTGTTTGCTGCTTTGATGTAAATAAAAAGAAGTAGTTTTGAATGTTACAATGACTGAAGTTCATTTTTCTCTATATTAGTCTCTCAGGCCTTCTTTTCAGAATTTACCAAGTAATTCTCTAGTAAATGCTATGAGGACAGAGATGCTCTTCTTGGTACATTTGCTTCATTTGTGAGAATTTATATGAAAATACAAGGACAGAGCCCTGGCCTGTGCAGCTCAGTTGGTTGGAGCATCGTTACATGCACTGAAGGATTGAGGGTTCAATTCCTGGTCAGGCACATGCCTGGGTTTGGGGTTCGATCCTGGTCGGGGCATGCATAGGCAACTAATTGATGTTTCTCTCTCACATCAGTGTTTTTCTCCCTCCCACCCTCTTCCTTCCTCACTCTCTAAAAGCAAAAAACCCTGGCCAGTGTGGCTCAGTTGGATGAGTGTTGTCCCATGCACCAAGAGTTCACCAGTTTGATTCCCAGTCAGGGCATATGCCCGGGTTGTGGGCTTGATCCCCAGTTG